AGAGTAGTGGGTGAGGAAGTTGTTTAAGGTCACAAATGTACACTGGCAAGTTTATTGACTGTTATTTTCTTACCACAGAGTGTTATTACCTTTACAGGATATTTTTTAAAATCTCTGCTGTACTTTCATTTCTAGCTATGACTGTTTCCAAAGATCCAAGATATGCCAAGTACTTTCAGATGATTAAAGTTGTAAGTTTCCAGAAACACAGCTCACAGATCTTGTTGCTCATTTTTCAATCCTCTCTGAGAGCTACATCCAGTTGTAATGACATAAGTTCCTGGTTGGTGGAATTTTAATGAATCCGCACTATGTTCACAGCTTATTGATTTTAAATTTCCCCTTTTTCCCACTTTTCTGAGCACATAAAATGTGTACTTAATAGCACATTTGCATGATGTCATCTGATTACAACTACCAGGGTTCATTTTGTTTCTTCTTTATTATTTAAATTCGTAAATCACAGTGGGGTTCAAATAACAATTGCCTCAATTAACATGAGAACAACAACAAGAACTACAACAACAACTTTTTTTGTACTCAACTTAGAAATTAGAAATTATGTGAACAAAAATAAGTTAAAATAAAAAGAGTACATGGCTGCCCGAAATAACCTTAATGGGCTAATAAGACTGAGCAGCCATCCTTAGTGACATAAAGTGATTATTAATTTGAGACAAATTAAAGAGAAAATAGGAAAAAGACACACACACACAACACACAAAATGGAAAAGTGGAGGATTCTGGTAGTTGTAGTCAAGTGACACTATCATGCGAATTGCCTAGTCTTCTCCCATTCAGAAGATGTCTGAGTTTTGAGCAAAAAGGGTATCCTACTAAATTATGTGCCTCTACAAAGTTCTAATTCTGGAGACATGGGACCCTCATGGTTAGTGTACTTACCCCTGGATTGAGTGGTCTGGGCTTGAGCCCTGGCTGGTGACATTGTGTTGTGTTCTTGGGCAAGACAATTTACTCTTGCAGTGCCTCTCTCCGCCCAAGTGTATAAATGGGTCCTGGTGAATTTAATGTTGAGAGTAACCCTGTAATGGACTAGCATCCTATCCAGGGGGGAGTAGAAATACTTCTAGTTGCTTCGTGCTAAAGAAACCGGAGATAAGCGAGAGCCTGATGATGGATGACATTTCTGTTATATCACCGACAACATCTAGTCGGTGATCAGAACTTCTCTTGACCTCATGACCTGCATGTAGGTCCACATATTTGCATTTTGAGGAGTCTTAAAATAGACAGATTCAGTTAATGTGTTTACATCCTTGTTGCCACCCAATTCAGACCACTTGGTGATTCATTTGAGAGGTCATAATTGTGCAATTTGTCACGTGCAACTGATTGCATGGGAGTATGTAAAAACAGAACAATTTTAACCTCCCAAATGAATCATCGCATGATCTGAATTGGGTGGCAACAAGAATGTAAACATGTTAGCCAAATCCGTCTATTAGTTCCTTATAATTACTGGAATTGAAAGGGTCAAACAAAGCTCAAACCAGAACCAATTTAACGTTATGATATATGCGGCCTTTTTCAGGGAGTTCCATTAATGGCAATTGCACCCAAGATGAAGGCAGAAGGCCTGGATCCAAGTTATCTTGAGTAAGTGTCATGAGATAGAAGTAAATAATTCTTCGTGAACTGGAATGTAGCTTGGGTAGCAAGTGCAGTGAAGCGACATTTGTTCATGCAGTCTACTCCAGCACCTGCCAAAAAGTCATTCTAGTATTTACAAAGCATACAGCTTTTAGCAGCATTTTGCTGTACATGATATGATATTAATTGAAAACTGCAAATCCTCCTGGGTACCTTTACTGAGGTCTGAGGTACTTGGAAGGTATACTACCAATATTATCATAAGCAATGTTTTCCAACTGGGAGGGTTGATAGGCCATCATCTCTTGCATGTCATCTTTTTATTGTATTGAATGAGTGATACAGTTAATGCTTGAACCACATTTGTTAGGGTATATCATGTTTTGTTGGTATGCTTTTTTCAGGAACCCTGATGCCCCAGCACCAGAGGGTGCCCCTCCACCCCCTGGACAAAGTGACTCTGATGAAGACATGTCATCAACATCGTCATTTAGTGATGAAGATTGAATCGCCAATGTACCATGGATGAAAACATTACTCTTTTTAATATGCCATTTCTGTAAATCTGAAACAAGTCTTCATACTTTACAACGAAATATCCTTTATTGGTCAATTTTGGGGTCTCTCTTAGAACTTGTAGAAAACAGAGAATTAAGAGACATAGGTTACATGACAATAGTCTTCATGAACAACAACAGTGAAGTTGAATTATGGTAACAAATCAAAACACAGGTGTCCTCCCACCTAATCAAATAGAAATTATATTAATCAATTTTTTTTTGATTTGTTACAGTTTTTCTGGCTCTTGCCGCAGGTTAAGTGTTTTTGCTTACACTTCTGAGGAGATGATTCTGTGTATGGATAAAATGGGTTGTGAATTTATTACTGCTGTTGTAACTTGGGTATGGGCAGCTGTCTTTACATATGCCAATGTTTCATAGAAATTGCCCGGTGCTTGAAAAATTGTCACTCGACAGTTAGAAATACCCTATGCATCCATGAAAGACGGAAATCTCAATCACTTCCTTGGTAGCTATAACTATAAAGGAAATGTGCATTTAACAAAACGGTTCCATTTTTTACGATAAGAAATTGAATCAACTTTATGAATAGAAGAATATATTTGTAAATAAGTATCCTTACGTTTGTTTGAAAATTTGTACGTTAAAGATGGAGAAGACTTGTTAAATGTACAATATTGGACAATCGAGAAATGGGATTCAANTTGACTGGAACAATAGCTGTTTACCAATTGATTACTGAAGTCTCACCTCCATTAAAGTTCGCACATTGCGTGGGTAGTAGGTGTGACAAGAAAAAAACAACACAGTCTTCATTACTAAAGTTGCATGCACTGGAAAACTAAAAGCAGTTTAAGGCGTTACGTTGCAAGATCACTAATCCAAGAGTGAGAGAGAATCTTTTAGGATAACACAATCAGTTGACGTTAAGATCGTATTCCGAATTGTCAAATAAACAAGTCTTCGAAAGGTCGGCGCGTTGTGCCAAAAAAAAGTCTCACCTTGAATTAACACAAGTTCATACATTGCGCGTGCGTACGTGTGGCAAGAAAACAACAATACAGTCTTCATTAACAGAAGTTCTGTGCAACTATACGCGCAATAAATCAAATACATTTAGACTCAATAAAACAAGGTTTTGACGGCGGTTTGTTAAACAACGCGCGTTAAGCCATAGATGGTTTTCGAAGTTTTTCAAATACGATCAGCCATCGATCGATCAACGGACTTTGTTTGACTTTGTTGCTATGTAAGTGCCACAAGTTACTGCTAAACAACGCGCGTAATCAAACAAAGATATTTAGATTCAATAGCTCTTCAACTACGTCAAGGTCAAATATAACTGAAGAGGTTTTACAGGCGGATGAGACTTTACAGGGTAAAAGTCGTTGGATGGTTTTCAAAGTTTTACAAATACGATCGGCCATCGATCGATCAACGGACTTTGTTTGACCTTGTTGCTACGTAAGTGCCACACGTGAATGCTAAACAACGCGCGCAATCAAACAAAGATATTTAGACTCAATCGCACTTAAACTACGCCAAGATCTCGGTCACATTTTAAGTTCTCTACAGGGTTACACTTTCTGAAATTCGATCGGCCATCGATAAACGAGCGCGAATTACCAACTAGCGTATCAACAACATCGGCATAGCGTGGGGGACAGAGATAGATTAGGGCGAGTGAAACTAACGGTTAAAAACGTGTTATCAAGATCGTATTTATAAATGGGACGATTATAACATCAGCTAGGCAAATAGAGACAATCTTGTAAGCATATATACACTTTAATTATATCATGGAGCGAAGTAGCTTCTGTATGGAGCGAAGTAACTCTTGTGTGGAGCGAAGTGACTTTTGGTTGGGGCGAAATGACCATGGGGCGAAATGGCCTGATACCGTTTATACCCAATATCCGTTTGGTTCAATGTCAGCAATGGTTTAATGTTGTTGCAAAGTCGAAGCAGTGGTTACCATGCATTTGTTCGTTTTCCTGCGCTTGTTATTAGTTGCGTGTTCTGATTGGTTCATGGCTTCATTTGCGTCCGTTGTGATTGGTGAGCTTCCCGTGACATGTCAACCAAACTGTAAAGCACGAAACTCTCCTCTGACTTCCGGTTTTGAGGTGGCTTAATATCGGGTGTTAATTCTTGACGCACGAAATTTAGAATTATTCATGAGAACACTCGAACGGTAATAGTGATACACGAAGTATGCCAACTGAGTAAACTGCGGCAGGTTTAGCCATCAAGGCAGTTTTGTATTACATAATTCCAAATCAACCCTTCATATACCTAGAGGGGAATATTCTAAGTATCTTCAGGCCTTTACAGTCTGCGGTGGACGAGGGAAAATTAATTGATCCCTCTGGCTTACAAGCAAAGATTACATTCTTTGTTGTTTTATCACAATATTCCCAAAACCCACTTAATGTGCATCCGTTCCTAGAGGTAGCTGGAAAAAACCGAACACAGAAATTAATTCGTCTGTGTGGCAATTTCCTTACAACACACTGTTGGAAACTTTCGACTAAACCCAGCAAAAAGTTTAATAAATAGTTTTTTTAATAAATAGTATTACACACTTGACTTCGAACGAATGTCTTCCTGTGAAATTTGCATTTGAATAAAGAATATCAATTATACATAAGAACTTTTCTCTGTACCTGAAAACAACAGGTTTTCTAAGTTTGGACGAATTGAATTCTTTCATGCAGGAATGTACTCCCATATGCCTATCTGGCGAGAACTGGTTTCTGACATTTAGGTTTAATTGGTTCGTTTCCCTCTGTCTCGGTTGTTAGTGGTTCCAAAAAAAGGATCAATTTAAATTTGGCATCCAAAGGAACACTAAATTATTTATCACGTCAGGCGAAAGCTAATCTTCAATTAGCAAGGTGTATTGAAGTTGTGTTGATATTCTTCAAACTCACGCAGCGTTTGACTAACACAAGTGAAACTTACTCTTTGATGTACTTCTTAGCGACAGACCGACTTCATAACAAAAGATAAGGCGATATTTTTATTGAGAGAAACGTCGCTTGAAGTGTCAAAGTGCCTCGTTCGACCTGAAGGAATGTAAAGGACGACAGCAATGCCATCTCCGTTGTCAAGGAAAAGAGGAAGTGCAAAGAAGCCGGGATTAAACCGGCAACGGAACTTTCAACCAGCGTTAAAAACTGTGAAGAGTTTAGTGGATGACATAGCTGATTCAGAAGATCCCGAAGACCGGGATTTTAAAACTAAGGTACTTGAACAAACATCACAGTCCCCAACTCGAAACGAAACAGCTTGTACAAATACAAGTCAGGGACATGAAAGTGCGTCGAAAAACCGTTTGCAAACTATTTCTTCGGACTCTTATTTTCAAAAAGATCGATTATTGCACAGTTTCGATAGCGACTCGGAAAGTCAAAACAATGAAGATAGTTTCTCTGAAGAACAAACAGAGTCTCGTGTTCTGACTGAGGTAGAAAGGTTAGAAGAAGTTCAAGCAGTTCTGGAGGAAAGAATTAAACAGACCAAGGAATTGCTCGAGACAGCGGACAGCACGAGAAATCAAAGACTGCATGGCCAAAGAAAGTTACGGCGACTTGGGCTTAAAGTTCAAAAGTTGGAACAGCGTCTCGAGTTAGAGAGAGCGGGGAAATGTGGGTGGACGTTTGTCAGGAGAGTTTTGAGAAAGCCGAAGGTCGGATTTCATAGCAGCGAGTTGTTGAATCGAAAGGTGCCATTGGGACTGATTGCTGCAAATATAGACACCCGACCTCACCTCACCGATGTTGTTTTGCAAGAAATGGAACACAAGGCAGACGTTCAAGTAGATATCAACTCACAAAGGCCGAAAAAATTGTTCAAATCGAAGGATCTGCAAGAGTTTCAGCAAAACCTTTCAGACAATCAGTCTCAACAAGGCAACAATGTGGAAGAAGGTGGCAAGGAGCCTGATAATGCTGTGTTGCGGGGAGAGGTAGCCAAAGATGCCGCCAGTGGATGGCTCCAGATTGACAGTAGCGAAGAACTTCAAGAAAAAGAGCAACGAAGTGATCGAAAGGAGATGGAAAAAGGATGGCTACGAATCAGTGACAAGCCTGGAGACTTCGTAAAGAGGATCGAGGATGCTTCAGATACAAAGCAATTCAAAGAAGCGTGGGTTAACATAAATGAACAAGGACGTGAACGTTTCGCAAGGAAAGTTTTCCGGGCCAATATGAATGGCGACTCACTCCTGTCGCTTACTTTGGATGGAAGTGGAGGCACATTAAACGTTCGTGGAGAAAAACTTAGTATAGATGGAAGGAGATCTTTTAATACTTCTCAACAGACACGTCTAGACCGTAAAGATAAAAGCAAAGAGGGACGAGTGGGGAGAATCTCATCCTCCCGATCACTTCCAACTGCAAAGATCGTCAAAATACAAAACGTTGCCGGGACCACTTCTTTTCTGCCTCCAATTCCAAAATCTGAAGCTAAGAAACGCCCTAAAGAAGAACAAGTAGAGAAGGTAAAAGATGAAAACGACGGAGAGCAACAAAAAGAAAGAGTACTTCTGATTCCCAATCAGAGGCGATTGGCCAGAAGAAGAATTGAGATTTACCTAAAACAACTGGAATTCGTTAAGTCTCACAGACTTGATCAAAGGGAGATTTTGAAAACTTTGGCATCTGCTGTCGAGGACTACTATGGCGAAAAAGGAATACCAACAAAACACGAGGCAAAAACGACTCCACGTCACGCTTTGTATTTGATTGGGGCACTGTCCAAAAACCATCTTCGCCCTCCCACTGCGCCATCTAAGTAATAACGCTTTGTTGTTACTCATCTTACTTTTAGTGCAGTTTATGGGAAAAAGGCAAACCTTAACTTTAACAAAGGCACTTTCAGTCGTCATTTGTTTGGTTTGGACCAATTTCAGTGTTCGGTATTATCCACGACGTTTTGGTCGTTGTGAAAAGGCCATATTCGCAGTTTGAACAATGTTTCTTTGGAAAGTCGAAACTGATTCTGATTCTTATTCTACTTTCATCAAATTCTTTCGGGCGGCCATTCTGTGGTCTTGAGTTCTAATGGTAACATTGACTGAGAGTTAGAATGTTTTGAACCCGGAAATTGTATTTCATTTCCCCACGGGTGAATGCGGTTCTTCGCACCCCTCGTAGACGTGTAGTCGGAGAGGGGTGAAGGAGAGTCTATCATCTATGACGGCTGAACAACGCTCGGGGTCCAATACCTCGGAAGCGAAAGCGCGAAAAAACCCTCACTCAAGGGCACTGTAAATAAACATATGAGCTTAGAAAGATACAGCTTCAGAAGAAATATACTTCGTCTTTGTTTTTGAATACAAATCGACATAAAAACTTAATCCCTTTTATCAGGCTGGGAAATACGTGTACTTTACGAGGATACCGTTGCTGTTACCGCCTGAAACAAAGTACTACTTCAAGCAAACTAAGAAGACGGATGAAAACTAAGGAAGTGGACAAAATTACATTGAACAATTCTCATGGACTCATTGCTGAATTTGAAATCTTAGTTGGTAATGCATTTTGCTGTTTTGGGCTCACTCCAATTTAATTCAAAATTCAAAATTTTGCGCAGGGCAAGGGGCTGGAGGCTTGACCCTCCTCCCAAATTTTTAAAGCAAAAAGTTAAGTAAAAAATAGCACAATAAAACAACTATGCAGCTCTTCTTCAGGAGTGCATTACTTGCCTTGAAGTGAAACTCAAGGGATATGCGTAGACGGATTCTTGGGTGCCAATTACAGTTGAACGCCTTTCACTTCTCTATAGGATACTTAGAACAGCACCTGTTTTAACACACAGATAACTTAACAAAATCCTTCTACAAAAGACAAGGATGTCGGCCATCAGTGGTAAACCAACTGTCGTTTTATGACGTGGAGAAAATGCGAAACGAAGTAAGCTTCGAATCATTCTATGACGCGATTTCACTAAAACCTTGGGGGTTGAGCCAGAGTGGTCAACAAAAACGTGTGCTTAGAAGAATTGAAATTGAGGCTTGAGAACAGTCATATTTGGCTATTGCAGGCATATATTGGCTCTACGTTTAATGCGATTTTTTGGCAGTGGTCGTGTGCGTGAAGTTTTTTTTGATAAAAGTAGGTATGCTCGTAGGGTACTTTCTTTTAAATCATCATTCTCATTCAAAAGTCGAATGTAAGTAACTAAGGAAGTAACTATCGTAAGTAAGTAACTACAGTAGATGTTTAAAAATTAAGAGAACGCCATCATCAGGAATTAACGCCATTTTTTTAATTTAAAATTTGTTTTCATGCGTAGTGCTTCTATATATCAGTTACAAAATAAAAACTTTCCCTTCAAGTTTGTCTATGATGTAAAATGGTTACCTCCCTCCCTCAAGAAAATCCTTGGAAATCATGACAAATCATCATTTTGTATCTTCATAAACCTAGTTACAAACGGTAAAAAGAGTTCGTTATACAAAATATAAAAATGCACTGTAATTCAAGATAGCTCGCATCAGTTCATAACTATAAGCACGGTCATCGTGGTCACCAAGTAAATTACTCAAATTACTTTGGCTTTCAGTCACAAACAAAGTGGTCTTACAATGGGACCTTGAGAAACTTCAAACAAAAATTTAGGATAAACATTGCAAAAAGGAAATACCTGGTGGCTATTAGCCCGCAAAAACAGGTGGACAAAAGTGCACAAGTTTAAAGCGAACTGCAAGTATGATAATCTGGGCATCAGAAACTTCACTTCTGATCATTGTTATCAATCGTTTCCTGTTCTATGGTATGGCTATACGATGTCACCACAAGTGGATGTCTTAACTTATACTTATAAGACTGGCGTTTGTTACATTAACATAACTATGTCTAAACATAATTCAATTAATGTTAATAACACTGGAACTGGTTGTCCAGCGTCAGCTAGTCTCTCTGAGGCAAAGCTAACGTGATTTTCACGTTCAGCAATCAAGGAACTTGTTGCAAAATAATATTTAAACAAGTCCGTACCTTAGTGTTATAGACCAGCAGAACAATAAGGCACCATTATAGAAAATATATGTTAATTTATGTATGTAATTCTTGATCCAGTTAGCCTTGGCGTGTTATCTTGATTTTTAGTGTTTGATTTTAGTACCATTGCTGATGTACTTCTGAAAAGAATATTTTAGCCTGATAACTCGATCAAAAATCCTGCAAAGTAACAAACATTTCTAAAACTTACCGAATACATTATCATTCCATTCTAACAATATATACCCCCAACCCTGTTACAAAAAGAATCTCACAAAAACATTCTTTCGAACAAATGTCAGTAGAGCGTAGAGCCCATACTTTCACTCAGAAAACTTAGCATTGGACGTTTAAGGTACTTAACTTCATGCACAAATAATTCTCTGGATTCAGGTATAAAAAATTCAAGATCTACACATGCAACATGACTAAAAAATTCTGTTCCTTCTAGTCTCGAGGCAGCATCTCATCCAGATCTGCCACAGTGTAAGCCACTACAGCCCATACTGCGGCACACAGGTCCATGGCATCAGGATCCTGGACAGTCATGGTGTCACCGTTTGTATGATGGAAAAAGAAGTACTTGCTGTTTGCATTGTCTAAACCTCCACCTGGTACCCCATCACGGACCCAGAAGGAGATCTCACCACCAATATTTTTAACTCTAAGGTTGGTGACATTTATTGGTTTCAACAGACTCATGACTTCCCTCATTATAGCTTGTGCTTTTTCACCTCCATTAAAGGTTATACCCTTAGGCACAAATGTTCCATAATCAGACTCCATCACCAAGCTGAAGTTACCGGCATTTCCTTTGTGACGGTTGTAATATTGCTTTGCTCCAAGAAGACCCACCTCCTCAGCTGTCCACAACACCATTCGCATGGTACGTTTTGGTTTCAGATTTAACTGACGTATCACTGACAGTGCTTGCCATGAAATGAATGCACCACCCCCATCATCCATAGCACCTTGGCCAACATCCCAGCTGTCTAAATGACCGCCAACAAGAACAACCTGTGTGACAAGAAAGGGAGAGATAAGTTGTGGTTCTTTCTAACCATACGGTCTTGGAAAAAAGATCACTGTATTCTGGCACCGATGTTAGACAAACATGAAGTCAGTGACGATTGTGGTGGCATTGGAAACATTCACTGGTATTTGGGCAATATTGATGTCCATGTCACAGATGTGACCAAGTTTTGAGTGTCCTGTTGCTATATGGTCTTCACACCTGTAACAAATTAAACTTGCTACGCTGTGGGCGGATTGGATTGAACAACATGCAAGTTCACCTGTTAGACGGTGCCTACTTTTGTTAGTGCGCACACGTTCTGCGCATCACGCAAGCCATGGTTTAAGCTCCGAGCGCGCACTGGGGTTGACATTGACGCAATCAACCACGCTACCAAGTACACGACTAAAATTAAAGCAAAATTCTCACTGTGACCAAATCAAGTTTAATGAACCTGTACTTAAACCAGGAACACTAGAATAGCAGCACATCGCTAACCTCTGACTGTTAACGTCTTCCAGCTGAAAAACCAGCTGTTATCTGTCGAAAATTATGCTGAAATCCAACTGTAAACACGAACCTGCAGATGGCGTAGTGCGCGCGCAAAACAAGTGCGAGATACGCAAGTGTATTACATACTGGGGAGGTGACAGGAAAAAATGTAACGAGCGCCGTAAAGTTTTCAAAAAAGATGAATAACTTTAAAAAACGCGTGGTTACCTCTACATTTTATGTCATGAAATGGAAGTAGCAAGCCTATTCAACACATGATTAGTTTCTGGTTGTGAGCAAAAGGTATTTAGACTGTATTTTAGCTGAACCAGAGGAAGCTGTCAGAGACGCTAAAAGCGCTGTTGCAACGATTTTGTTGTTAAAAACATACCAAAAATAGTTTTTATGTTACCATTTGCCATGTAATTTAAAGATCTTTTTAAATGTGTTTGCTTTTCTGTATATAAAGGCGAATTCTAAGGAAATCTGTGGAGAAATACGCTTTCCTTCTTTTTCAGAAAAATGCTGATGTCAGCATTTTTGTTGAGACTCAAGGCTAATTATCTC